GACACGTACTCATCGGTGTCGCGAGAAATAGTGACAAATGTTTTACACATAAATGCCTCCAATTTCTGTATCTCAGTATTCATTAGACGTATGACACGTTTCTTTCGTAAAATTACACGTGAATTAGTTTTTGTCGCCATTTATGTTGTAATAATATTAATATAATTTAATACGCAATAGCAATTTATAATTAATTATTTTATCGGTATTTGGTAAACAATAAATTTGATTATTATATTAAAAACATATATTTTTAGTATGAATCAACCAATTGTATATGTATAATAATAGCCGTGGTCAAAATGATAATAATATTATTATATTGTAATAGACTTCAGACTATTTGTGTAGTAATCGGTAAATACTGTCAAACGGTTTAAATCGTCAGAAATGTAGTTAAATGAAAATGTAGTCAAACTTTTCACTAATAACTCATTGTTTTCGTTAAAAATTGCCGACAAATCATGATTTATTGACAATTTCGTGAGTCTAGTGCATGACTTGTGGTATAATTTAATCAAATTATAGTCACAACTATTAGTGATTGTAATTGAAGTCAATTGTGAGCCATATTTACTCACAATTGTGTCCACTATTTGGCGATCAGTTGTACGAAACGTGACGTGAATTGCATTCAAATGTTTGCACGAATTCATGAGTATCTCAAACATTATTGCCGTCGTGTCTGAAGTGATTGTCATATCAATGGATGTAATGTTTGGACACTTCTTGAGCAGTGGTTCCCATGTTCTCGAGATAATGAACTCTTTTCTGGAGCCCTCTCGAGTCAATAATTTATTTATTAGTTTATCGTTGACTTTAAGTGAATGTCTTCGTGTGAATACACATCTCTGCCACTGTTTGGACAGACATTCAAATCGGAAACAGTCTTCGAGTGATAGGTAAGGCAATAGGAGTCCACACAAGTCATCACCAGATCTGTCAAATGAGACCTTCGGATAATATTCTTCTGGAGTCTCATTCATAACATTTAATGACAACTTTGCGTAAAAACACAAAACATTAATATTAATAATATTTTAATAAATATCATAAACTAGTTATTTACAAACCTGCCAATAGTGTGACAAATAGTTGTTGAGATACATGATTTAAATGGCATAATAATGAACTTCAAAAAATATAACCTCAATTATAAATGACACTGATTATATTGATTGAAAGAATATTTTATTGAGATACAGTATGTTACTATAGTTTTAAATAGTTTTCATATATAAAACTAATATCATGTTATCAAATAATTTAAATAGTGGTATAAATAATTGTTATACAATGATAATAGTTTAAAGTTTAAAATTTAAAATAAAAAAATAAACTAAATTTTAAACCATATAAAATACTTTTAGAAAATTCATTCAATATGTATATCAAAGTCCATGTTTTAATTATTATGATTGCAATAGAAATGTGAAATTAAATGCACATAAATAGTGTTCATTTGCTATAGAATTACATAAATATTTATATTACACCATGATACTATCAATAAGTTGTCTATTATTTAAAGTGAAATCTTATTTGAATAAAACAAAATTAAATAACTGCTCTTAATTATAAAAATTCAAATTAATATATACAGTAACTTATATAATAGGCAAAAACCTATTGATTAAATAAATAACTGTAACTTATAAAATTACTTGATCAAATAATTGTTATCTAAGAAATGCTAATAATTAACATTTAGGAAAACATTTCCCTAACTAATGTTATCTCTGAGTCCATGGTCACAATAATTAGTGTTGGCATTCAATACAATTTAAAAACATGTTTAATAAAATGTAATGATATATTTTTATTTAGATTAGATTTCATAAACAAAAGTTGCTACTAATATATTTGAACATAAACTAGACTAAATATAAAATTGTCTGCTATTTCAAATATTAAGTTACTTGTTTAATCACTTATTGTATGAAATATTAGACATAAATATAAATACAGTGTTTGAGTGAAGCATTGAATACTTGAATTAAGACAAAGATTGTCATAAATAGTGATTTACTTGCAGTTAGTCTGAACTGAGTGTCCATTCATTCGTTGATAACTATATTATAGTTACTATATATTTGGTGATACCGTTCAACTCATCCAATATCTTCAATATCCTCGACAATGGCAAAGACACCGGCGATTGGCATAGACTTGGGTACCTCGTACTCGTGTGTGGGGGTGTTTCAGCATGGTAAAGTGTGGATCATTGCCAATGACCAGGGCAATAGGACAACGCCCTCGTACGTAGCGTTCACAGACACGGAGCGACTGATTGGAGACCCGGCTAAGAATCAGGTGAATATGAATCCGTCGAATACGGTGTTTGACGCCAAGAGACTGTTTGGCCGGCGCTTTGATGACCTCCCGGTTCAGTCAGATATGAATCACTGGCCCTTCGATGTGGTGTCCGATTCGGGCAAACCTAAGATCAAAGTGGACTATAAGGGAGAGTCGAAGTACTTCTCTCCCGAAGAGATCTCAGCGATGGTGTTGATGAAGATGAAGGAGATCGCGGAGACATACCTGGGCGGACAGGTGTCCAATGCCGTGGTGTCAGTGCCCGCCCTTTACAACGAGAGTCAACGTCAGGCGATCAAAGACGTGGGAACTATCAGTGGTCTCAATGTCCTGAGGATTATCAGTGAGCCGACGGCCGCCGCCTTTGCGTACGGGTTCGACATTAGGGGTCAGGGAGATCAGGGAGAGCGCAATGTCCTTATCTTCGACTTAGGCGGCGATGCGCTCGACGTGTCGGTCCTCGCCATCGAAGACTGTATCTTTGAAGTGAAGTCAATGGCCGGAGACTTGCATTTGGGAGGCGAGGACTTCAACATCCGACTCGTCAACCATTTCGTACGTCAGTTCAAACGCCAGCACCGGAAGGATCTGTCGGTGAATAAGCGAGCGATGCGTCGGCTGAGGACGGCCTGCGAGGCCGCGAAGAGGACGCTCTCGACCTCCACTTCGGCGTCCGTCGAAATGGAATCACTCTTCGATGGCATAGACTTCTACTCAACGATCACGAGATCCCGGTTTGAAGAGCTGAATGAAGACCTGTTTCGGTCGACTCTGAAACCGGTGGAGAGGGCGTTGAGGGACTCCAAGCTGGATAAGGGTCAGGTGCACGATGTGGTACTGGTGGGCGGGTCGACACGGATCCCCAAAATCCAAAAACTTCTTCAAGACTTCTTCGGAGGTAAACAACTGAACAAAAGCGTTAATCCGGACGAAGCGGTCGCATACGGGGCCGCAGTTCAGGCGGCGATCCTCAACGGCGACAGGAGTGAAGCCGTGCAGGATCTCCTGCTGCTTGACGTGACCCCCCTGTCCCTGAGCATTGAGAGTGCAGATGGAATGATGACCACTGTTATCAAACGCAACACAACTATCCCCACTCGTCAGACCCACACATTGACTACCGATTCGGACAATCAGTCGGTAGTTCCCGTTTGGGTGTATGAGGGGGAGGGAGCCATGACTCGAGATAACAACCTTTTGGGCAAATTCTGGTTAACAGGCATTCCTCCGGCGCCCA